TTAGGAAGGAAAAGGGAGAAGCTCTCAGGGGGGGAGAGGCCTTGGGAGGGAAAGGGGGGAAAGGATCTCAACATGGAAAGGGTGGGAACGATCTTAGGGAGGAAAGGGGGGGGGGAAGATCTTAGGGAGGAAAGGACTTAGGGGGGAAAGCCCAACAGGGAAAGGGGGGAAAAGATTTAGGAAGGAAAAGGGAGAAGCTCTCAGGGGGGGGAAAGGCCTTAGGGGGAAAGGGGAGAAATGATCTCAACAGGGGGGGGAAAGAGGGGGAAAGGGGGAAAAGGATCTCAGCAGGGAAAGGGGGGGGGGGGAAAGATCTTAGGGAGGAAAGGGAGAAGATCTGGGGACAAAGGCCTTAGGGGGGAAAGGGGAGAATGATCTCAACAGCAGGGGAAAGATCTCAGGGAGGACAGGGAGAGGGAGAAAGGGCCTTAGGGGGGAAAGGGGGAATGGATCTCAACAGGGAAAAATTGCAAAAGATCTTAGGGAGGAAAAGGGAGAAGATCTCAGGGGGGGAAAGGCCTTAGGGGGGAAAGGGGGGAAAGGATCTGAGCAGGGAAAGGGGGGGAAAGATCTTAGGGAGGAAAGGGAGAAGATCTGGGGGCAAAGGCCGTAGGGGGGAAAGGGGAGAAATGATCTCAACAGGGAAAGGGGTGGAAAAGATCTTAAGGAGGAAAGGGAGAAGATCTGGGGGAAAAAAGGCCAACAGGGAAAGGGGGGAAAGATCTAAGGAAGGAAAAGGGAGAAGCTCTCAGGGGGGGGGAAAGGCCTGAGGGGGGAAAGGGTGGGAAGGATCTCAACAGGGAAAGGGGGGAAACAATCTTAGGAAGGAAAAGGGAGAAGATCTGGAAAGGCCTTAAAGGGAAGGGGGGAAAGGATCTCAACAGGGAAAGGGGGCAAAGGATCTTAAGGAGGAATAGGGAGAAGATCTCAGCGGGGGGAAAGGCCGTAGGGGGGAAAGGGGGGAAAGGATCTCAACAGGGAAAGGGGGGGAAAGATCTCAGGGAGGAAAGGAAAAAGATCCCAGGGAGGAAAAGGCCGTAGGGGGGAAAGTGGGGGAAAGGGAGGAAAAGGGAGAAGATCTCAGGGGGGAAAAGGCCTTAGGGGGGAAAGGGGGGAAAGGATCTCAACAGGGAGAGGGGGGAAAACATCTTAGGGAGGAACAGGGAAAAAATCAGAGGGAGAAAAGGCCTTAGGGCGGAAAGGGGGAATGGATCTCAACAAAGAAAGGGGGGCAAAAATCTCAGAGGGGAAGGGGGCAAGGGGACAATTCCAAAGGGACGCAAATAAGAAAGCAGGCCTGTAATGTCGGCGGCCTGAGCCGGAGGCACTAAAATTTACCGAGCACCGGGGATCCTATGAAGAAACCTTCATGATGGACATCGCAAACACTCCGAAACGAGATTTCATTATAAATCGCGCATGTAAATTTGCCCAGGGTTTGCCATTATGAAAGTCACCCCAACTGATAAATGATATATATATATATATATATGGGTGTGGCTCAGAATTAAACAAAAGGGGTTACGCAGGTTTTGGTCCATGTTTCCACTTACCAGGGCTCCATTTTGGTACCGGTTTTTTGAGCCACAGCCATATATCACCAACCACTTTCCGATACGCAGCAGTGAAACTGTGTTTCTTTGGGGGGTACCCTCTTTGCGCTTGGCTCAGAGTTGCTCAGATGCCCAGTGGCCATGGCGAAAAAAAAACGGCCCCCATTTTTGGTTGGTTGAGTTTCAAGGAATTGGAACCCTTCCCCCAAAAAAAACACCTTTGTTTTTGGTTAGTTGAGTTGTTGGTTCCCAAAAACAGGTCGAACAAACAAAGCGGGGCGGAATCCACTAGTCAACATGGGCTTGGCAAACCCCGACACCGCTGCGCCCAAAGCGCCCGCGCCTCCTCACAGGGCCCGTCCAGCTGGAGCCTTGTCCACACCTCCAAGTCGTCCAAGACCTCGCGGGAGTTTTCCGCGGCTGGGGATCGCTTCCCTCTCGGGGCCAAGCCAGCCCTCTTGGGGCCAACCAGCCCATGAATCAAATCAAGTTCTAGCTTTAGATAAGGAAATAGAGTGGGTGAGCTGGCAAGGTAGGTAGCAAACATGTGTGACTCTACTTGGAGGTTTAAATTTTAACTCGGGACTGGCAACCAACCAACCAACCAACCAACCAACCAACCAACCAACCAACCAACCAACCAACCAACCAACCAACCAACCAACCAACCAACCAACCAACCAACCATGTTGACACACAGCTTACGCTAAAGACCTGCCTCGCCACCAGCGCAGACGTAGAGGCACAGCAACACATCTACGCCTTGGAAAAAGATAGCAAATGGGCCTCGCGGAGGTAGGGCTGGCTCGTCCTTTTCTTTGGGGTCGCTACCCTTTGTGTTGGGGTAAAGGGAAACCAAAAGGAACACCGAAATCCTCTCTGAAGGGTCCGATTCCCCCAAAAATGACACACTCAACTTGAAGCCACAAGGCTTTGTGGAAGCGATTTGCGCTCAAGGAGAAACCAAACACTAAACAATTTGGTCCGTGGCTTCTCTCCCTTTTTGGACGGCTCCGCGAAAATTTATCGACCGATGCCAAGGAGCTGATTGCGGCGGAGGTTTGCACTGTGACATGGAACTCGCAGATGTCCAACTCCTGAAGACATTGGAAGGCGGATCGGGGAGGGAGGGACTTATGGTGAAAACGCCTGGCGGTTTGGTCAAAACCAATAGGAAGCATTGACACGGGTATTAAGGATCCTTTCTGTGACATTGTGGATGACCATCCTGCTTCATTAACCCCAAGCGAAAGTGTCTTAAACTTGAATAGGCATCATTAAAATGGTTGAGCTGGCTTGGGATGACCATCACGTTAACCCCAAAGCAACCGGACTTTCGATGGCACATCTGGGTGTGTCTGTCTTTGAGGGCACCCTTGTGCAAAGGAAAACCCACCAGTTTGGGATCCCCCCATGTCAAATGACACACCCAGTTCGCGGTCATTTTTCCCAAACAGCTGGAAGCCTTGGGGTCTCAGCCCAGACAGGCTCCGGGGCGGCCCTGAGGTAAGGTTCCACCAGGGTTCCACCAGGGTTCCACAAGGGTTCCACGAGGGTTCCACGAGGGTTCCACGAGGGTTCCACGAGGGTTCCGAGAGGGTTCCGAGAGCTGCGGGGTGGTGCGAGCACTAAAAAGAACGCCGCATGCTGTTGGGGATATCACCTGAGCTTGTTTTTTTCGCTAGAGGTGCTCATTGGCCAAGAGACTTCTCGCCAATTGTCCTGAGAACAATGAGCACGAACCACCGAAAATTCAGACATTACAGTTTGTCTGTTGGTCCTCTTGTTTATACAAACTGTAACAGCGTTTGTTACCAGTACCCCGCCACAAACCCCAACGTGCCTGCTTTCCTCACCTACATCCCAAGTACTGTCCCAAAAGCTGAGGGTGGGACAGTGGAACCCGGGTATGTTGTATAGGGAGGGACTACCATGCTGTGGATGGACGAAATCCGTTCGCACCACCTCAGAAACCCTGGTTGAAGCCATTTATTGGCATTTGCAGGGGAATAATCATTCCAGGGATTCTGAACGGTGCGGAATGAATAATTTCGTCCGTCCACAGTAGGGGTGGTTTGGAGGTTAAGGGTTGGTTTCCCATTTACCATTTACACAAAAATATATAAAGATCCGAGTCGAAACCAACTACGGACTCTCTGAATAAGATATCCGATTCCAAACCACAAATCCAAGCCACCAACTAAGGCGACCTGATAGTCCAAACCACATCAACTAATCTATATAGGGGGTTGATTCCCCATTCTGTTCAACCATTGTTGTTTTCAAAAAACCGGCCATTTTGGTGGGTTTCTGGAGGTAGCCCTAGAACTAAGCCCAAACCGCCAATTAAGGAGACCTGATACTCCAAACCACCGATCCAAATCACCAATCTACTGGAGACCGACGAAGGAGATCTCATAAGATTCTAGGGCTACCTTCCCCATTTTTTCCCGGATTCCTTTCTACAAAACCTCCAGAAACATTCAGGGAAAATGGCGATCGGTTTTTGGAGAGACCCATGGTTGAACCGCATGGGGAGTCAACCCCTAGAAAAATATGACAGCTTCTCCCAGAATCAATGACAGCCCCAAGTTCAACGCGGGGCCTCGGGAGCACCGCCGGGCAAGCTCGCCCGACCGAAGGAGAAATCTCCGACCGATGCACTTCTCACTTGCCCAAAGGACCCAGAAATAAAAGGTGATCACCTTTTGGGGCCTTCATGAAACCTAGACCAAACAGGAGAAACCAAAAGTTGTCAGATCCGGTCGATTCGCTTTGGGCGACCGATGCACTTTGCTCCTTCTCCTTTTCAAAGCGCAGGCTCAGGATCCAGAGCAGCTCTGGGAATGCCCCAAGCCGCTCGCGCACACATGGCGCCGGCGCCTGCGCCTGAAGGAACACTGTTCATAGTGCTTTCCCAAGTCAACCATGTTTTGCATGTTTGATATATACATGTATATATATAGTTATATACAAATATGTACGTATTGTATGTATAATATACAATGTGTAAACATACATATACATATATACATATATATATATATGTAGTGAATATATACCTGGAATATCCAACTTAAAAATGGGTGATTGCCCCAAACTATGGTGTGACTTCCCTCTTCTCAGGGGAGTTTGACGGTCCGGGTATGTCAGAAAACAATCACAGCATTCCGCAGTTTCTTGATCCCGCTAAAAGTGATACTTTTAGTGGGATGCATCACACATCCCAATCAAAAGTCGAAAGGTCTAAGGGCATGGCTGGGAGAATAGTCTTTAGAATCAGCGCCCCGAGGGAACCACCCGAATCCCCAAACAGGCAAACACTCCACTGGCGCCATGAAAAGGCGGGCCCCAAATCAAGGAGAGAAAGCAAGCAAGCACCCCACGTAGAGCACTGAATTGGATCAACCGAACACCCAAGATGTCAGTTACTTGTATTGAGCAATGTCACCAGACCAGTCCGTCTTTCCACACCTTGAGCTCCACCCCATCCACCGCCAGGACAATCCTCGGGTGTCGGGTGCCAGATGGCTTTGTCGAAAGGATGCCCCCCCTCCAAGATGAGTGACCTGTTGGTTTCCTTTGCAAAAACCAATCGAAGGCGGAATCCCTCTGAAAATGTGGGCTTCTCTCAAAGGGGCACTCGCCAAACTTCCCGTTAATTCTCATCCCTCCCAAAAAGTCAAACATACACCCAAACAGGGGGTGCGTCTGTCTCTTTAGTAGCGAGATCTCTCTGTGGCGATCTGCCGAGCATCTCGTCGAAGTTGGAAGACAACGTGCTCAGCTGCTCTTTGGCCTACGGACCGCTTCAGAGCAGGGCTGTGGGAAATGCCCACTTCTGTGATACAAGACAAAGGTCTCCCAAAGACAACCCCGCCCATTTCAACCGGGGATTTCCTTGTATCACAGAAGTGGGGATAAACCCCTTGATCCCACAACCCTGCTTCAGAGACACGAATCGACCCCCCCCCCACAAAGAAAGCAGAAGGGCCGCTCACAGGGATGTAGTTTTACGCCTCCAATGCTTCCAAAACACTGGAAATACCATGCGTTTCTGCATGCGCAGACGCTGGCGACTAGGGTGAATACTAGGAGAATACTAGAGAACTATCTTAAACCATCCAAACACATGCCTCATTTGCACTTGCTGCAAAGAATTCATGATCATGCAAAAGCCTACCAGTATTTGGACCAAAATCGTGTTTTCGCCTCATTCCCAGCACAGGTTTGGTCAGAAAACACCGTAAAATACAGTGCTTTTGACAACTGTTCAATCACAAATCACATCCCCACGAACGGCCGAACTCAAAACAAGTGGGCGTTATTCTAAGGGGCCCAAATTAAATAGATGGATGTGTCTCAAAATAGGACACCCTCCAACATGTTCCTTGTGGTTTCCTTTAAAACCACCAAAGAAAGGGGGGAAGAAAAAGAAGAAGCCTCCAAACACACGGAGAGTCTTGCCCCATGAGGTTTGGTGTACTCGGCTTTGCCCCGCCCAATCCGCGAGACGGACGCGACGCCTGCTCTGCACGTTCGCGCAGCTTGGCGTGCTCCCGGAGGACGGTGAAGCGAATCACCTCCGAGGCACTGTGAATAAAACTTCCCTATCTCTACTCTTGGTAGCTAAAAACTGACTGTTTTTTGCAGACCAGTAAAAATGAACAGAACCAAAAAAATAAAAAACCAAAAAACATGCCAAGAACAGTGAAGCTATGGTTTCCTTTCAGGGAATCCCCAGGGTTCATTCACAAAACCTTGAGTCATTCCCTATCGCGCCAGCAAGTTTAGGAGCACATGAGTCATAATCAAACCCGGTAGTAAAATGGTCGTAATCCCAGAGCCATAGAAAGAATCAAGACAAAATATCCGCAGCTATTTATGGTTAACATCGTCCCTTACTAACCTTCATCTACCCAGGTATTGATTGTGGACATCACAGGATTCATGTAGCGTTTATTTTCACAGCCAGTTTGATCACTTGGACAACATATTTGGTGTAGACCGCCCCACCAAGCCCTTCGAAGAAGCCAGCCCAAAGAAATTAAGCAAGATCAGAATCAAGCTGCCCTGCTGAAAAGCTGCATCAAGGATGAATTTCTTGGTTGACGTTGGGTTTGGGGAGCAAACATTCTCAACTTTGAGCAGTTCAGTGGTTGGATTTCAACCACTAAATCACAATAAGCAAAAATGCAAAATGTTTCCCAACCATTGAGGAATGGTGGTGTCATGCTGAGGTGAAATGTTTGAATTCTTAATGGGGGAGGTACCTATTCTGCATGGTTTTAAAGGGAATCGGAAAGGAAACCACCCATTCTCATAGTCCCTTCATGTCCCCTGGTCTGAGACAAACCCAAGAGAACTCAAGTGGTGGTTTCAACGATTCCACCAATTCCCATCCCGCCCGTCCAGCCCATCCAGCAGGATTTCCTTTTCGGATGAAACAAATAAAACGACCTCCCCCCCCCTCCCCCGAAAACAAAACAAAGTGGAGGATTGCTTTCTGCTTCGGCAAACACGTCAAAAGGTACTGTCCAACCACTGACATGGATTCGTTTTCTAGCAAATCGGTCTTTTCAGGCACCTCCAGACAGCTTACATGTTCAAACAACAAACTCGCCCTTTTTGTTGACCAGTTTGCCACACATGTTGCCTGGTGTTCAAAAAAAGTCGACAACGACGCTCTCTTTTCGTCGCCTCCAAATGCCGCTGCACATCCAGATGCGCCGTGCTCGCGACGGCGTAGCCGCCATAGCCGCCCCGTGCGCTCTGAGGATAACCCAAGCGGGTCGTCTCCGGAGCCGTGGACCTTCGCTCGGGTTTGCTGGGCTCCGTTTTGGAATGTCGCTGGGCCAAAGCACAAGTGAACAGCCATGTCCTCCAGAGCGTCCCAACCAAACAAAATGTCTGATGTTGGTCCATGTTTAGTGAACCTAAACATGTTTCTCAGAAAACCTGGCGGCTTCGTTGTCTTGTTTTCTCAAGATCCGGCCACGCTTGGACGAAGGTCTTGAATGTGGACAGGCAAGCCTGGACCCACATTTTTCCGGAGCGCCCTGTAGTCAGGGAAACATGAAGGTCGCACAGCGCGGCTCAGGTTATTTCTCCCTTGACAGACCCTGGAATCAAAGAGTCATCTGAAATCCTGACTACTAATAATAGAGGGGTGGATCTGGCAGAACCTACATTTTGGCAGAAGCCAAGGGAAAACGACTGGCCCAACGGTCAAATTTCGTCATCCTGTCGCGCCTTGAGTTCGGAAAGCATCGAGGAGTTCCGGAAACGCCGCGGCTCGCCCAAAAACTTGGAGATCCAATCCATTAGCAAACAGGAAGAAGTGCAACATCCAGCCCCCCCAACAACTTTGCATCCCCATGTCCAAACTCCCAAGTACTGTTTCAAAAAGCAGTGGTTGGGACCCGGGCGTTTCTGCGCAGAAAATGACCTGAACCATCGTATTTTTGTTGGTTGGTTTGGTTTAGGTTCGGTTAGGTTTAGGTTTGGCTTGGTTTAGGTTTGGTTTGGTTTAGGTTTGGTTAGGTTTGGTTTGGTTTGCAACCACCGTATTTCGTGAGCCAAGTTTATGGACGTCAGCGGCGCGCCTGGGTGAGGTGCGGGACGTGCGGGAGGTCCACTCGCTGGACACTGCAGGACTTGGCAGCCTCGGCAGCCGTTGACGTTTCTGGCTGAAAGGACCTGGAAATCAAAGGTTCAGGTTGGGTGAGCTTATGAGAGTGGGTAGGTGGGTGGGTGGGTGGGTGGGTGGGTGGGTGGGTGGGTGGGTGGGCAAGTTTAGGAGCACATGAGTCAAAATCAAAACCTGGTACAAAAATGGTCGTAATCCCAGAACCATGTACAGGATTAAAAAGGCGGATATCCGCAGCTGTTGGCTGGGATCGTCCCTTACTAAGCTTCATCTACCCAGGTTTTGATTGTGACTCAGGTTGGGTGAGCTTATGAGAGTGGGTGGGTGGCTGGGCGGGCGGGCGGGCGGGCGGGCGGGCGGTCATTTGCGTAAAGATGGGTGAGCGGTTTCCCTACCAGCCTTTTCACATCTGACGTTGGGACCCGGCGCCTAAGGAGCATGGCCCAAACCAGGACACCCGAACGTTGCATGCTCATTGGTGGGAGGGTAACCTTGAGTGAGTGTATTCTGCTGCCATGGGGTTGTTGGATCTTCTCAAAACCTCATCAGCTGAGCCTTTTGCGACCTTCACGAAATACTGTGTGCACCGCTTGGGGAAACCGTTGTTGGTTGGTATTTCCAGCAAACTACCAATTCCTGCAGGTGGTGCAGGATTTCCTCCATCCACAGCATGGACCGCGGGAAGACCAAAATGTCGAAAGGTCGACTGGGCAACTGATGGTTCTTACTCATGAGGCTCCAATGGGCGGAAAGCAGACCTACCACTGGAGCCTGGGATAATCTGAGCCAAGGAAAAGCCCCTAAGCGGCTGTCCCGCCCCGCCATTTTCCGCCGTTGCGGGTCGATTGACCTTTGGTTCTGAACCAGAACATTCGATCGGATAGCCACATACCTACCTGGTTTTGGCATTTGTTCTGTCCACATAGCCACTGGAATCATCGAATAGCTGACGGGATACCGGCATCAAATTATCCAGATGCTCTATGGACTACACTTCACACTACTCCTGAACGTTTCAGTGGCACAAACCACATTTAACAAAGCACTCGCTCGTGGCAAGCGTATTGTTAGGCAAAGCACGTCAGACTTGTGGGAAGCAACATCACAACCAGGTTGAATGGTCAAACATCGTGCCAGGCTTGTGGTTCAATGGAAGTTCCCTCATGGGTAAGAGACAAGGGGAAACATCGAATGGCCAGACTAGATAGCCTTATGTTTATTTGAGGGACCATGTTTTAGGTTGGTTTAAAGGGAAACCGCAAGGAACACCGCCTTTCCAGTGTTGTTCTCAGTGGCCATGGCACAAAATCGGCCATCCTTTTTGGTTGGTTACGTTGCAAGGGGAACCCTTCCTCCGAGAAAAAACGGCGGACCGCCCACAAGGGCTCCAACGGGCGCCCGGTTCAACGCGCCGCTCGCGACATTTGTTTTTTTCAAAAATCTGACTTCGGGGAGACTAGGATCATGATTTTGACCGTTTCTGTGGTGTATCACAGTCAGAAAATGGAATCGCTTGTTTCCCTTTAACCCATCACTTAGGAGGTGACTTTGAGCATGACAAAACAATGAGGCCAGGGAGAGGCGCGGGGAGGCCGCGGACTCGTCCCGGCGGATGTCTTGCAGCGGCAGCCGCCGCACCTCCCGCGGGGTGCCGCGCTCCGAGCGGCCCGTGAAGGTGCCGCTGCGCGCGCTGTCCTCGCGCCGGCGGTGAGGGCTTCGCATTTTGGGCATAGCTGGGGATCAAACCATCGAAACCAAGGGGGTTAATACCTGGGGAGTGGTTTGATCATCATCCAAATTGGATCAAACAACCATTGAAGCAAAGGGGGTTAGTACAGGGACCATCATCATCCATTGTGGTTTGATCCAGGAGTGGGTATCCCCCTTTGGAGAAACGAATATCAAACCACCATTTGATCACCATTCAGGGGATGAAACCACCATTATCTACCGAAGGAGTTTCATCATCCAAATTGGATCCTTGCCATTCTTTTCATATGAGTTGAACCAAGGGTTTACCTAGAGCCTCGCACATTTTTGCCCACCGAAAAAATGGTTGGTGTTGCAACCCAAAGTGGGTGGTGAATTCCTTCATTGCTGGAGGGTTCAGGTACATGTGTATTCTCACCTCCTGAGTGAATGGCAAAAAAAAAGCAGATCCTTTGTGAACCACTGAAATGGTTCTACCAAAAAGTTTCAGGAACTCTGGGAGTGAGTATATATATATACGGTGTGTATATATATATATGTATAACACAAACAAGCAATAAACTCAGTGGTTCATGGATCCCTTGCCAAAAGTGGTATAAATTCCAACCTCTGAAAATCTAGATATCTAAGGGTGTGGATCAGCTAGTTGGTTTCCCTTTCAATCGGGAGCAATGCGACCAACAAATGCAAAAACTTGCTGGACTCCCCGCTGCCCCACAAAAACGAGGGATTCTCCTTTGGCTAGGTCCTCCAGTAGTTTGAAGATAGAGTAAGGGTACCCATTTTTCTCCGAAACCATCGTGGATGTTTCATCCAGATGTGCAATAGGGGAACTGCTAGTTCGATCACCAAACACTCAGCTTCCCTCCAATTGGTGGTTTGGATTGCTAGCTTGGTGAAGGCTTCAAATCCGAACCCACTCCAAACCAAAGGGACACCTGAAACAGGGTACCCTCAAAATCCAAATCGTACCCCCAGTGAACATCCCTATCCCCACTAAAACAGACTGACATGGGTGGTGTACCTACCCCACAATGGGATCCCATTAGTTTTGACAACCACAGCCAAGTGGCTGGCTCAAAAACATGGAAGCCCAACATGGCAGCCTACTCAAACCGGCGGTCCCCTGGCTGCTCCACCCCAAGACCCCTGGGGCCCGGGCGGGGTTACGCAGTCCGCCCAGCTGCAAGGAGAAACCCATGCCATGCGGCATCCGCGGCCAAAAAAAATCGGCTCCCGCGAAGCAAAGAACTTCCAGTTACCACGTGTAAGCACGGAAACCATCCGTGGAAAACCGGGTAGTGTCGCACCTGCATATCTATGGAAAATAGAATAGATGTTTGATTTTGCAAAACCAAATATATCATGTGAATGTTGGTCGAAACTCATATGGCCGGTTGGGTCATTGATACTGGTAACGATTTTGTTTCGGATCCTTTGCTGGATGACCAAGCATGTTAACCCCAAGTGAAGGGTTTGTTTGACCATGGCACAAATGGGGAAAACACCTTGTGGGGAAGAACTCATGGGGATAAACCTCAGCAACCTTCTGACGCGAGAATTCGAATTGCCATCTCACAGGGTACCTTGCTGGTGTTCGATCACTTTGCTGCATTTATTTGTCTAATGAAGGTAGCTTCAACATGCTTCAACCTATGTCTGCATCCCTTAGAACCCTTCCACGGCTGTCGGAATGCCTTGCCGCGCAAAGCCTTAATGATCCCCATTCTATGTTTATGTCCGCAAGCTTAACTTTATTCCAGTCGGTGTAGGTATTTATATTATATATATATATATGTATTCGTACACATGAGTACACACATGTGCATACACGCAGCTTACTGTCTGACATACCCTTGCATGTTGCAAGTGTGTCTTTGCCTGGACGCGTTCTGTTGCACCAAAGGATCCATGCGTGAATCCCCGGGCTCGGTCCGATCTGTGAACCAGCGGCTTCCAGTTTGTTCGCACTGGCCGAGCCGGCCACAGGCAAGCTTTAAACATGTGGTATTATCATTGATACAAACCTAAATGTGAACCCCAAACCTGGCAGTTGAACCCATAAATAAGCCCAACATGTGAACAAGAAGTCGTGACTGTAAACCAAATGAATGGCAACGCACGTGGGTATTGCAACCATAACCGCATCTTGTAGGTGTTAAAAGGAGACTCCAGGACTCGCCAGCACGGGAGTTTCCCTTTTGTATTGAGCATCCAGTTGGCAAACTGGTGACCAAGGCTGGGCACTTCCTCAGTTACAATGCACAAAAACAGCTCCCAAAAGAGGACCACTTGTGTGGATGGACGACATCCACTTCACACATCAGTTGGGAAGTGGTTCATGACAGTACTTTATTTATAGGCCTTTATTCATCCCAACTGCTGCAGGAATTCGTCCACAGAATGTCTGACACCCCCACCCGTCGCGGAAATCAAACATCCTTCACAATCCAGGGTGTCGCCAAAGCGAAATCGAGACCTCCCAAATTTTGGCATGCCCTCCATAAAAGTAGGTCGCCCTTATAGGAACATCTCCAAAAAGGCCATCCAGCCGGAAATTTGGTCGCCGGCAGCTCGCGGGAGTCATTGTGGGAGAGCTTGCAGAAGCCTCGATGACAGCAATCAGCAGGGGTCACAACATGAAGAAAATTCCTAGACGGGGTTCATCAAAAGGACCGTCTACAAATTCAGCACCTGTTTTAGGGGATGCATGTGAGAGTGGGGTGAAATAGGGGCTTCCAAAAGCAAAGCCATACACTATATACATGCAACAATAGTTACATGATAAATGCGTTGCTAATCTTATTCACCTGAGCAATCGGGTCCATGGCAAGTTAGCAACGATCAATATTCACTGTCGTCCATTCTAACAAACAGGGTGCGGTACAGCTGAACTCCAACTAATTGGGGTCTGAAAAGCAGACCCCTCAAAGTCCAATGTTAGTTGGGCTCAGCTATTACTTGGATTTATCCACCCCACCAATCTGTTTTCCTATTGGTTCTCACCCAAGAACTTCTTGGTAGGTAGTGCTTCCACCCGCACACTACATGTGTCTTGTGGAATCGGACCTCATGGGGCAGCTTTCCTTTTGGTTTTCCTTTGAAGCCACCAAAGGGGTAGCCCCGAAAGACAGACTCAAAAGGGTTCTCAGAAATCGGGCCCCTGTGCCGTGCTTGGAATCCTTCGAGCCATAAAATCGGTGCAAACACCTGGCTTAAAATGCTGGATCCGCTTTTTCCCGGTTGCTTTCTGCTCCCCTGCTAAAAGTTTAACTTTTAGTGGTTGAGTGGAAAACCCAGTAGTTGGCAAAAAGTTAAGGTCCTAACAGCCAAGCAAAATGCACCAAAGTTTTGGTAGGATAAAGGAAAACCAAACCGGAAACATCGGGATTCTTGGAGACCATCGGCCCTGCCTTCAGCCCAGAACTTGGTCAACGGAGTGGGTGTGTGCCTTTTCAGGGTACCCGTTGGGTTGGTGGCAAATTATATTTGTTGTGCGCCCAATCCGAAATTATGCAACGGCATGTTCCCCTTGCATCGTGCATTCTTGCATAGCAAAGCAAGCAAACAAACAAACACGCAAGCAAACGAGAAAAAAACAAGCAAACCAATGATACAAAAAACGGTAAGCCAAGAAAGACAAAAATAAAGAAACAAAGAAGGAAATAAATAAAGAAAGAAAGAAAAAAGAAAGAAAGAAAGAAACACCAAGCTCAAGAAAAGAGACAGATAAAGAGAAAGAGATAACGATGCAGAGACTGAAAAGAACAAAGACAAATATCAAGAGCAAGACACGCATACAGCAAGAAAGACAGACACACCTAAAAGCAAAACACAAAAAAGAAGAGCGCACAATTGCTACGTAACCTAGTGACCTTGCACCTCGGGGTCATTCACAAAGATGTGAGTCACTTCTCATTCCTTGATCATCGGAGTTTGGTTCTGCAGTGCTCACAACAGTAAACAAACCTCAAGGCTTGAGGGTCCCTTCAGTACCTTGTGAGGTAATTTGATTTGATTGGACCCTGGCATGGCCTTGCAGGGAAAAGTTAAGGAATCGACCCTGAATGAACAGTCCGCCGAATTGTGTGCTAGTCAATGTCAATGTCACCCATCGGCTTGTGGAACAGCTGGTTGTAGGGAACATGGCTGTGGCTCAAAAAAACCGGTACCAAAATGGAACCCTGGTAAGTGGAAACATGGACCAACACCTGCGTAACCCCTCCTGTTTAATTTTGAGCCACACCCACATGGTGTTCTCAGAAAGTTCCCTTTTGGTGCGGCCCAAACCTTTGGTTCCTGAGGCGCCCTGCTGGCTTTGGGCTTCGGCAGCAAAGGCGGGTCCGGCAAAGGCTTAAAGGCCTGCGGCGTCGGATGCGGTCGATGTCGCTTCCTCTTTCTTGAACAACAAATCCACAGAAAGGACCTGCAGCACCCCTCCCCTCTCACCCTGGAGACCCCGGAGGTTTTTTCAGGCTTCAATCTTTGGGGTTTGGCCTAAATGCTTTAGGCCCTGGCTAAGGAGCTAGACATAGTGGCACGACGACCACGCCACACTGCTCGAAAATCGCAACCAACGTTGGGTCAACCTCTTCTTGAACATGTGTTAAAGCACCTATTGCTTACACCAACCTCCGATGTTGCTTCCCGTGAAAGGGGATTTGGGTCTGGCTTAAGTACACCAACGTGCGCCAGCCTCACCCACTCAAAGCATCTCAAAGCGCGCGCCTCGCTGCCGCTGCCATCCTCCCCAAAGTCGCAGTAGCTGTTCACATTCCGCGGGGCCATTTGGAGCCTCGCATTCGAGTCGCCAACTCGCGCGTCGCGCGCCGCACGTCGCGAGCCCGCGAGTCGCGAGCCCGCGAGTCGAAGCCGCAGGGTGCCGGCGGAGTGGGGTTTCTCTGAACAAAAGAGCATGCAAGCAGGCAAGCACCTCGAGACTTGAATGAGACTTGGCGCCGGGCACGTGGCTGGCTTCCCTTTGCTGGTTCTTTAAACTTTAAGCCACACCCGGTTGGAGGGCAGCGTCAACAAAAACACTTGGAGGTAGGTTTGTGACTCCGATGCATCAGCCTGGTGAGCCGGATTTCCAGAATTGGTTGCGCCTTATGATAAAGCCAACCAGGGGTTGACTGATCCGGGCTTCCCCTTTACACCCCATCCAGTCGAAGCTGACATCGAACATGCCACTCTCAAGTGGCAACCTGTCTGCTCCATGTGTGGGAAACTTGCACTGGGTGGGATGAGCCTGGCGTTTGTGTGCCGTCACAGCCCAAACACTTTCAACAAAATTTCTTGTGTCAAGATGCAGCGGTCTCCAAATCTTTGAGTGCAAAGATTCCAAGACTCATTAAATTTCAAGCGATGAACGAGCAGAAACGCCACTGAGCAGCTCACAAATGCGTCTCAAAATCGAGAAACAAATAAACAAAAAACACATGACTTCGACTTCACTTGCCCTCCACATCAGCGTGCCGTGGACACAACTCTGTAGGTCATGGCCAGCGGATTGCTTTCAACTTACAATGCTTGTTTAAATTTCCGCGAAGAGGTCCATCACCATCCCGTTGCGGACCCCAACTAAAAGGAACCCAACAGGGCATGGGACATTTAGGGCTTGAATTTTTGTGACGAATTGAGTCTCTTCCCTTCATGTCCCTCCCAAATGGACCATAGACAGAAAATGTTCACCGAACCTCCTTCGGGTTTCTCCAAATAGGAATCGGACCCCTGAAAGAAACAAAAAAGATTTCCTTTGGGTGTCCCGAGCCGAAAAAGCATCCACCGTCCTGAGAAACCTGTGGCGCTCGTTCCTAGGCGAAGGGCCCCATGATGCTCAGCAGGTTGTCCACATCTTGGAGACTCTGTGCGACCAGGTCCTGAGAACCAGCGGGCACAAGAACACCAAGCGGTTTATAGACACTTGTTCAAACAGATCAGTGCTATATATATATAAACAACTAATTCGTGCATTAATATGAATGTAATGTGTGTGTGTATATATATATATATCTTGTATATACACATGCACGCTAGTGGGGCAAAGACTTCTACCTGAGAGTTTTCGCGGGGATGCGGAGGTGGCAGGTGGCAGGTGAGAGGTGGGAGGTGAGAGGTGGGGGGGGGGGGGGGATTTGAGGGTTTTTGTATTACAGAGAGGTTCAAAATAGCACGGTTTTATCCGGACATGCGCCAAAATGG